GCCAATGATCTGCATTGGATGGAGCACATGACCTGAAATAAATATTTATAAATATTAAACCAGGGGTAACCAATTAAAAATCAGCTGGTCTGAATAAAGAAAATCATCAACCAGTAAAGCTCCAGAGACATTTTTAATGATCTGTTACTTTAAACAGAATTTAACACTGAAATAAAATGAGGTTTTTATGCATCCATGTTATACATAGACTTTTTAAATAAAAAATATTTATAAAATGTTTTTCCATTTTAAAATCTAAATTGTTCTTGAAGTAGAGAATAGAGAACAACAATCGTTAGGTTTGGTATCAAGACAATTTCCTGATTCACATATTTTATCAAACACCTGAACTGACAGACTCTTTTTCTTTTCTTCTGTCTTAATGAGAGCAGTGGGCTTTAGGCTGCGCTGCCAGGCTTTAAACTTGCGTTTAATGGAGACTAAGCCATTCTCAAGCACATATCAAGGAGCTCATTTTGAGCCTGGATCCGTATTTATTGTTGATTCTGTTCATGGTGGAGAATCCTGCTTCACAGCAGCAGGTTGAGCCAAACATCCTCTAAATGTTCAGGCTCCGCTCCGGTCCGGCCAGGTCAAGATCTGCTTTTGCAATCGCACCAAACAGGAAAAAGAACGGAGAGAAGATCCAGTTTGTGAAATTAAAATATAGTAACAACAGATCGGTAACTGCAAATCATATATTTCAAAAAACCGTTTATTTAAAAGGATGTAAGCTATTGGTACTTCAACAGACCAGGAAGCAGATTTCTCATCTCCATCAGAAACTGCACATCTGCTGGATGCTGATGGGGATTGTTTTAATATGTCATATTAAATTAAGTGTTAATTTTTGCATGTTTTGCTCCTATGAATTTAATGATAATATGGCGCATGCTCTCCTCGAGCTCCGAAGATAAGTCTGAGCGGAGCAAAACGGGACGAACAGCGAAGGCTGTAGGCGTTGCTTTGAGCAGGAGGTCTGGAGCGCTGCGGGGCGCTGTGGGGAGGAGACGGAGGATGTGGGATTTCAGGGTAACAGAAGTGGCGCAAGTGACGTTTAGACACTGTCGTCAAACAACATGTGGTAATTTATAAATGTTTTAAATCAGGTTGGGTCCAGATTAGCCAGCAGGTGGGTCCGGATCCGGACTAATCCGTGATCTCTGCATTAAACCGAAGCCAAGAGTAACGAGTAACGTTTGTTTGAAAAATGAAAGAAATAGAAAGTACAGATACTTGTGTGAAAATGTAATGAGTAGAAGTCAGAAGTAGGAAGAAAATAATGGAGTATTTTTACTTCGTTACTTGACACCTCTGGTCCTCCTCAGTTTATGTTTCTGACTGAAATCCTCTTCTTCCTCCTCAGGTTGGAGCGCCTGGTGGAAGTGCTGAGGAAGAAGGTTGGAGCAGGAAGTCTGCGCGCCGTCATCTGATCCATGTTTTTCATTCAGATCTGTGGAAATGGACTGATGGTTTTTAGATCTTCCTCTTCGTTGTGAACCCTGCAGCAGCAGCTGCTGCATCCATCATCCCGTCAACTTTTGTCTTTGGGATGCGGAAGTATTAGATGGAAAACTGAGCATCTATACAGGAAGTCCTTTCTGTCTTCCTCTATGGAGAAAATGCACCAACCGCCATGGGGGGGGAAATCAGTTTGTATTGCTAAAGCTGTTCTTATTTCATTTGATTTAGTGCTTTAAAGGTTCTGATTGTTCTGGTGCTTATAAATAAAAACGATTGAAGGTTTGTTTGTTTCTTCAGGTCAGCATAAATGTGAAATAGAAGTAGAGCAGAGACTCCGAACAGAAAACACCAGAACGCACTCGTGCCCCAAACCGAGGCACGAGGACCAGAGGCGGGACGCCGCCACCTTTAGAATTAGGACGCATCAAGGCGGTCCCGAAAATGCAAAAAGAGAGTTCAAAAAAGTCTACCACTGTTCAGAT